TGCCTGGACTGATATCTAGAATACTTTTTTATAATTTTCTTCTAGAATGCTTATGGTTTCATGCCTTACTTGTAAATCTTTTATAATTCTTGAATTAATTTTTTTTGAGTGATAAGAGATAGGAATCTTGTTTCATTCTTCTGCATGTGGCTAATTTTTCCAGCACCATTTATTGAAAGAGTATTTTCTTCACTGTGTGTGTGGGACTATATATATATTTTTAGTGACTCTGTCTCACTTTGTTTTACTCAGTAGAGTGCCATTGTGTCCTAGGATGTGATCACTGTTGGAGAATGTTCCATGGGCTGATGATAAAGTTAACATACTTTGGGATGGAGTGTTTTATATATATCTATCAAGCACAGTTATTGTAGGGACACATTTAAGTCCCTAGTATCTTTGTTTAGTTTTCGTTTAGAGGATCTGTCCAGCTATGTAAGAGAAGTATTATAGTCCCCTGCTATTATGCTGTTATGGGATATCTTATTGCTCAGACTAATTAAGGTCTGTTTCAGGAATCTAGGAGCATTTAAGTTGGGTGCAAAAATATTTAGAATTGAAATATCTTCTTGTTGTATTTTTCCTTTCACCAATATGAAGTTCCATCTTTGTCTTTTTTGAGAGATAAGCTCATGTCATAGCTTATAGAAACCTCAAATTTTTGGTCTCAAATGATCCTCTTGCTTCATCCTCCTAAGGAGCTGGGACTATAGGTGCCTGCAACAATGCGTGATTAGTTTTTTTTTTGTTTTTTTTTTTAATTTTTAGTAGAGACAGGGTCTTTCTTTTGCTCAGGCTGGTCTCAACGTCCTGAGCTCAAGCAATCCACCTACCTTAGTCTCCCAGAGTTCTAGTATTATGGGTATGAGCCACCGTGCCTGACCACCATTGCATGTTGTTGTCTGCTTTGTCAAAGACCAGTTGGCTGTAGGTAGATGGTTTTATATCTGAGTTCTCTATTTTATTCCATTGGTTTCTCTCTTTTTTTTTTTGTACCAATACCATGCTGTTTTGGTTACCATAGCCTTGTAGGATAGTTTGAAATCTGATAGTGCAATGCCTCCAAGTTTTTCTTTTTCCTTAAGACTGCTTTAGCAATTCTGGCTCTTTTATATTCAAATGAAGCATAAAATTATTTATCCTAGATATGTATATTATGGTGTATTTTGATGGGAATTGTATTCAATCTGTAAATCATTTTGAGTGGTATGGACATTTTAACCATGTTGATTCTTGCCAATTCATGAGAATGATACGTTTTTCCATTTGTTTGTGTCCTCTGCAATTTCTTTCCTTAGAGTTTCATAGTTATCCTTGTAAAGATTTTTTACCTCCTTGGTTAAATATATTCCTAGGTATTTTATGTTCTTTGTAGTTATTGTAAATGGTATTGAATTTTTGATTTGATTCTCAGCTTGACTATTTTTGGTATATAGGTATGCTACTTTCTGATTTGTGTACATTGGTTTTGTATTCTCAGACTTTGCTGAATTTATTAATTTCTGGACCCTCTTAGAGGAATCTTTGGAGTTTTCAACATATAAGAGTATGTCATGGGCAGCGCCTGTGGCTCAGTGAGTAGGGCGTTGGCCCCATATACCGAGGGTGGCGGGTTCAAACCCAGCCCCAGCCAAACTGAAACAAAAAATAGCCAGGCGTTGTGGTGGATGCCTATAGTCCCAGCTACTTGGGAGGCTGAGGCAGGAGAATAGCCTAAGCCCAGGAGTTGGAGGTTACTGTGAGCTGTGACTGCACAGCGCTCTACCAAGGGCAATAAAGTGAGACTCTGTCTCTAAAAAAAAAAAAAAAAAAAAAAAAACCCTTTTCCCATTTAAAAAAAAAAAAGAGTATGTCAGAAGAGTAAAAATCAATAGCTTGATCTCATGTTTCCCAATTTGTATACCCTTCATTTCTTTCTCTTGGCTGATTGCTCTGGCTAAGATGTCCAGTCCTATGTTGAATAGAAGTGGTAACATTAAGGACCCTTATCTTTTTTCTGTTCTTAGAGGGAATGTTTCCACCTTTTCTCTATTCAACACAATGTTGGGTGTGAGTTTATAGTGTATGGCTTTTACAATTTTGGTATATGTTCCTTCTATGCAGAATTTTTAATGAAATTGTGCTAAATTTTGTCAATAGCTTTTTCTGAATCGATTGAGATGATCACATAGTCTTTGTTTTGTGGTGAATCACAGTTATTGATTTATGAATGTTGAACTATTCTTGCATCCCTGGGATAAATCCCAGTTCATTCTGGTGGATTATTTTTCTTTTTTTGATGTGCTGATGAATTTGGTTTGCTAGTATTTTATTATTTTATTGAGAATTTTTTCATCTATATTCATTAGGTTTATTGGTCTGTAATTTTCTCTTTTTGTTGTATCCTTTCCTGGCTTTATCAAGGTCATACTGGCTTCATAGATTGAGTAGGATGAATTTTCTCCGTTGCAATATTATAGAATAATTTATGTAGTATGGGTATCAGATTTTCTTTGTAGATCAGGTAGAATTTGGCTATGAATCCATCTGGTCCAGGACTTTTTTATGTTTGAAATTTTTTTATTATTACTATTTTGATCTCACTGCTCATTATTGGTCTGTTCTAGAGTTCTGCTTTTCCTGATAGAGTCTTGGGAGGTTGTAAGTTTTCAGGAATTTGTTCATTTCCTCTATGTTTTCTAATTTATGTGCATAGAGATTTTCATAGTATTTATGGATGATGTTTTGTATCTCTGTGGTATTAGTTGTTATGTTTCCTTATCATTTCTAATTAATCTTATTTGAGTGTTTTACCTTCTATTCCTGATTAATCTACCAAGCACTGTGTCAACTTTATTTATCATTTCAAAGAACAACTTTTGAGATATGCCACTATTCTAAACAAACTAACATATAAATTATCAGCATCCCAGGGGTAAAAGAAAGAACTAAAAGCATGAAAAGTATATTTGGGGGAATCATTGATAAAAACTTCCTTGTATTGCCAGAGATCCACACATCCAGATAAAAGATGGTCATCAAACTCTGGCAAGATTTATAGCTAACATCAACAATACATATAATAATTGAACTGACCAAAGTCAAAATGAAGGAGAAACTTCTACAAGTAGCCAGACATAAGCAACAATTTACCCACAAAGGAAAATTCATTCGTCTAATAGCAGACTTCTTAGTGGAAACTTTATAAGCCAGAAAGGAATAGGTAAGTGTAGCCCCATGTTCAATTTATTATTTAATCAGAACAGTGCCAGCCTAAACTCTTGTATTTTACAAAACCAAGTTTCTCATTTGATGGAGAAATCAATTATTTTCTAGATAAGCAAACACTGAGGGAATTTTTAATGACCAGACCTTCCCTGCAGGAATATTCAGAACTCTGATATACCAATATGCACAGTAGCTATCCACCAGTATAAAATAACCCACAAAAGCTAAAGCAACCCGTATAAAACAATAATGCAAGACGGAAAACAAGCAACACGATACCATCCAACATGATGAACAAAACAGCATCACTCATATCAACTCTATCTCCTAACATTAATGATTCAAATGGTTTAAATTGTTTAAAAAACATAGGCTGGCTGAACGGATGAAAAACCATACCTCAGGTATCTGCTGTCTCCAGAAAAAAACATCTAAACCTTAAAGATGTGCATACACACAATGTGAAGCGATAGGAAAAATATTCCCTATTAATGGAAATGAAAAAAGTGCAGGTAAAATTGATTTTACACAACAAAGGTAAAGGAAGACAAAGAGAGTTATTATATAATGGTAAAGGGCACAGTTCAACAGGATGACATAGTGAGCCTAAATACAGGGTGGCCATAAAGATTGTGTGCAATTTTAAATTGAACACTATTTTAAATTGCATATGAACTTTATGTCCTGCTGTATATGCACATAACACAGAAGATCATGAAGCAACTTTTGCTAGAAAAACAAAGAATGATGCCATGGCACTCTACTGGAGGCAAGAGAGTAAGACTCTCAATCAATCAATCAATCAATCAATACAAAGAAACAAATAGCATCATTGAAATTACCAACAATGTCAACATCCCACTGTCAGAGCTAGATAAATCATCAAAGTAGAAAATAATTAAGGAAACACTGGACCCTAACCAGACTCTAAATCAAATGATTCTAACAGACATTAATAGAGTATTCTACCCCCAAACCACTGATATATATTCTTTTCAGTAGCACATGGAACAGCTTTTTTCAAGATTGATCACATTTTATACCCCAAAACAGGTCATAACAAATTTGGAAAAATAAAAATCATATCATGTATCTTCTCAGACCACAGTGGAATAAAGCTAGAAATCAATCACAAGAGAAACACTCCAAACTACACAAAGTTTTAGAAGTTGAACAACTTTCTGCTGAGCAATTATTAGATTAAGAATGAAATTAAGATTAAAATCAAAAGATTTTTTTGAACTAAACTACAAAAGGGACACATTATAAAAATCTGTGGGACTCAGCAAACGCATTTTTCAGGGGAAAATTCATAAATGTAAATGCCTACATCAAAAAGAAAAATCGCAAATTAACAAGCTACTGTCATTCCTCAAGGAATTAGCAAAGGAAGAGCAAACCAAAGCCAAAGCCAGCAGAAGAAATGAAATAACAAGGGTCAGAGCAGAACTAAATGAAATGGAAAGCAATCAGAATATCAGTGTTTATTTTCTTTTCATCATGACAGTAGTAGTAGCAGTACCTATATACAAATTTAGAATTAAATTCTAGCTTAAGATCTGAAATTACATAACAGTCTTTCTTAGTTAACTCAATTTTTCAAAAGTAGACAACTGTGTACAAACTAGTCTTTAACTTCATAGTACAAAGCTCTCTTCAATATTCCCCTGCCTTTCATTACTTAGGTTTTTATTTTTTCAATTTTCACTGCTATGCATGTTAAAATTTTAAATGTTGAAAAGGATTTCCTGATTAATTTTTTTATTTGAGAACTCTCTTCTTTTTTTTTTTTTTTAAATATGGAACACTTCACACATTTGCATGTCATCCTTGCGCAGGGGCCATTGTAATCTTCACTGTATCGTTCCAATTTTAGCATATGTGCTGCCAAAGCGAGCACAGAACTCTCTCTTTAACAACTGTTTATGACATACCTGTCCTCTGCTGGTCATAATTGTAAGAAATAGTGAATAAAGTGAGCAGGGTGCCTCCCCTCATGAGACTTCCCATGACTGGGATATAAACATTGTCCTCCAATTTCTGATAGTGAGACTATTTCCTCTAAGTGCTCTGTAGACTGTCCCTTGCAGAGCACGATTATAAAGGGATTATCAAAATGCAGAGTGCTATGTGGCTTACGTTTACTTGGGCTTTTCTGGCTTTTCTTTTCTTTCTCAGTGTGTGAGAAAAAATCATATAGAAAGTAATCGCAGATTTAACAGTTTCTGTGAAGGAAACCTATAGGGTAATACGGTGAGGAATAGCAGGTGGCAGGTACCACCATGGACTCTTGCAGTTAGGACAGGCATCTCTGAGAGAATAGCTTCTGTATAGAGATTTGGAAGGATTATTTCAAGACTGAATGGTAGGAAGAAAGGACCCTGGACTGGGGGTTGCATAGCACACCCAGGAAAAAGCAAGCAGGTGACTAGGGAGGCTACCACATGAAAGAGGAGGAGCATGACGTTGAAGAAGGGATGGGAAAGGTAGGTAGAAGTGGACGAGGAGATGATAGTGTGGGACTTTTAGTCTGGGGAAGATCACTGGAGAATTGTGAGAGGAGAGGGATACCCAACGGGTTTGGGGAGAAAAAATCCCGTGAATGCTGCGGGAAATGCCAGATAGAATTCAAGGTTGAAATAGTACTCTATGTGAGAGATGGCAGATGCTTGGGAATAGGAAGAGCCAGTTTAGAGGAGACCATCATACATTTTAAAAGTAGTGTAGAATGTTTGAAAAATAAAAAAAACTAAGCACGTTTTTATTAATGTGGGTAGGTAGTGAAAACAATGTCAGCTTTCTTGGGTTATGTGATTAGTAAATGGTACTAAAAACTATTAGTGGCTAGTTACTAGTAATTATGTCCACATAGGTAACTTTTCAGATGTTCTCTATTAATTACAAGAGGCGCATGGATGAATCAGCCAAGTCCTCTCCTTTACTAAAGAATCTCAAATTAATCCCCAAATATAAAAAGAAAAGTATGGGAAAGAAATGAAAGCTTGAGAAAGATTACATAATAAGAATCTCATGTTATTCTTTTATTTTTATTTTTTTAAGAGGGAGTCTCACTTTGTCACCCTAGTAGAGTGCTGTAGTGTCACAGCTCATATCAACCTCAAACTCTTGGACTCAGGCGATTCTCTTGCCTCCCCCTCCCAAGAGATGCCCACCACAACACCTGGCTATTTTTTTTAGAGATGAGGTCTCACTCTGGCTCAAGCTGGTCTTGAACTCCCGAGCTCAGGCAATCCACCCACCTCAGCCTTTCAGAGCGCTAGGATTACAGGCATGAGCCACAGTGCCTGGCCAATAGCATGTTATTCTTGAGTGCAGTGCATAACTAAATGAAAAACTTTCCTGCGAGTTAACTTGTTTACATAATAATCCTAGACTATACATCCTAGGGTAAGTGTTACTTGCCCACCCACCCCCACCCCCCATTTATAGATGAGAAACCAAGATGGAGAGAAAAAGTACCTTTTCAATTTCACACAGCTAGTAACCAACTGATGTGGGATATAGCAGTTAATTACCCCCTGATTCCTGATATTAAGACTATTTCCTCCAAGGGATGTATACACTATCCCTTTAGGATGCAATTCTAAAGGGATTTTCAGAGGGTGGGCCCTGTGCTGCGTAGCCTACATTTAGCTGGGGTTTTCCTTCTTTATCCTGTGCTGTTTCTGTTCTCCATGGCCAAATCTCATTCTCTTTATCCCATTATCACTGTCTTTGTCAGAGGGAAAATTCAGGGAATATAAATATGCACTCATTATAAAATGAGTTCCGGTGACCTTTTAGTATTTGTTGTGTACGAACTGTAAGCAGCAGCTAAAGATGAAAAGGAATTGGCATTGAGCCTTCTTAATTATTGTTCCTGTTTCAGACCTTTAATATAGCTCTGGCTCTTGCTGACACATCTAAATGAGGTTTACAGAACCTGGAGCTGTGAATTCAGTGCTCATTAACAGAGGGTTGACAGGACGGTGGAGCTTTCCTTTTTGCCCTTTTAGAAAAGAAATCATCATAGATCTCAGATTTAGATGTTTTATTTTACATGTGGATTATCTGCTGATTTGGAGTTATTGTAAGAATGCTTATTTAAAAGAAAGCCTGAAATGGGATCCCGAAAGCATGGCAAGAGAAAAAATGAAAGCTATCTATTCTTGGTTAGGCTTTCTGAATTCTGTAAAGCATAACAGATAGGACTAGTTTTAGAACAGAACGCACTGGTGTAAATTGTGCTATGCATGGAGAGTATAAGGCAGGGGGGTCACAGCCTGGTGAATTTCACCTCCACAGGTACCAAGGCTGTCACCATCCCTTCTGGTTGCAGATCTTTAACTAGTCTTTGACCTTGTTGGTCTTCTCATTTTGAACTCGCCTGTACATGACTGCCAGATTTGACTTCTAAATGGTGTGCTTGGTTTATGTCGCGTCCCCCAAATGCTGTTGCACCATTCCTCAGTGAATTATATTTAACTTTTTACTTAACTCTTTAAATTGGTCATTTATCAGCTTTCAAATTATAGTGTTAGAGCAATTAAGTCCACTAGTTGATGTCAAGAGGCAAAGAGCAAATTAATAGATTTGTTTAGCACAATGCAGTTTTTACATTTGGCTGGCATGAAATTCTCATGTAAAGGACTTTTATAAAATCTACTATGGTGCCCACATTTCTGCAAAAACTGGGATTCTTATTTGTCAAGATTTCTTGACAAATAAAATGGTGGGAAAATAGACTTACTATCTGTTGTGTGAGTAGAACAGAACATAGGGAAGAATGAAAAGGCGTATTATAAGAAACACATTGATAAGGAGTTGAGTTCCAGGGCAAAACAAATGGAAAAAAAAAATATCACAACTGACTTTAAATATGGTGGCAAGTACTTAGCCAGGATAGTAGATAAACTCTTCAAAAGACATTAACAAAAACCATGTGCCAAAATTCTGAACTTTGGAAAAAGACTAAGAGAGAAAGAACTTTCCATGGTAAGAAGCTTGATGTAAAGAGACCATTATCCATGCACAAAACCATTTGAAATAAGAACGTATGTAGTGGACCAGAGACGAATCAATAGGGATTAGATTCTAAAAGAAAAACAAATCAGAACAAAGTAAACAGAAAGGAAAATTTCTTGACCATACCCACTTTTTTTTTTTTTTAGCATTAACCTATTCTTCAATGAGAAGAGTTAGAAATAGACACTGGACTTTTTGCATACAAGTAATATTTACATTTATACTGTATTTCTTATTTGGCCAGTCCCAACTCACTCTTCTCTAATACATTTGAAATCCTGAGGATGAATACAGATGTGGTTAAAAGTAGTTATTTTGTTCGAAGTGTGAGAACACAGGGTGGGCAAAAAAATTAAGGACACTTCATGCCTGTTACCTTATCAGTTTTTATGTGTGTGTGCAAGATGTTACAAATGCTTTTTGAATTTAATATTTTGCTTTTTCGTATGATCGATATTATTAGGTGACCCTTATATCTCAATAGTTTGTAAGGATCTTCTGACACACAGTAATGTTCTCACCATCATACTTTATCCTAACATAGTGACCAAGAGAATTGAAAATGATGAATTGCTATAAAAGGAATATTCAGTTAAAGAAAAAGAATGGTGAATGTGAATTTCCTTGTCCTGCCTTTCAAAAAGTCCAAAGGTCAAGTTCATCTATGAATTTGTTGATCAAGTAAATAGTATTTGTGATACATATGCCACTTACAGTTCTTGGTCCTAAAGAATCTTAGATGAATGAAATAGGGTTACTACCTCCTAAAAGGTCAGGATCTTACTGAGAACTAGGTATGTAAGTAAATAATATAATATAAGGAATGGATGCCATCCTGAAAAGATGCTCAAGATATTCTAATAAATTAAATGACTAAAAAAAGAGATATTCTAATAAATGCATCTAGGACATATTGTGCAGGGATCAGTAAAGTCTTCAAGGGAAAATAAATGACCTTTGAGTTTTAAAGAATGGATTCAGGAAAGGCATTAGAGAATGCAGGAATGCAACATTGTAAAGTGTTGATGTCTCATGCACACATACATTTTTAAACATAGTTTTAGATAGTTGGTTGCTATGGCATGGAAGTTTGTCTCTTCTAAATTCATATGTTGAAACCTTAAACCCCCAAGGTCATCATTAGTATAATTAAGAGGTGGGACCTTAGGGAGATCATTAGATCAGGCAGGAGGATCTGTCTGTCATGAATGGAATGAAAGAGCCTTTTTCCACCATGTGAGGACACAGCTAGAAGGCACCTTCTATGAGGAATGAGCCCTCATCAGACATAAAATATGCCAGAGTCTTATTGAAGTATTCTACTTTCAAAACTGTGAAAAATAAATTTATTTTATTTATGAGCTGCTCAGTCTATGGCATTGTGTTGCAGCAGGCCAAAGGCACTAAGACATTGGTCCCTGATTTGATCCCTAATCTGCATCAGGATTATCTGTGACACCTGTTGAAAATGCAGAGTATCAGGTAACACATCAGACTTCTTAGGTCCAGTTACTAGGAGCCAACTTTAAAAAAAAAGCCATTTTTACCAATCACTCCCAGTTGATTCCAATATTCACTACAGATGGGGAAACACTATTCTAGAAGCTTAAAATAGTTCCATGTAACAGGTGCCTGTAGGGAATTTTACAGGCAATATGACCATTTTATCTTAAGTATGTCATCTGGGCAGCCAAACTGAAGGTGTTTCATAGGTATATCAAGCTTATGAAATAATGATTATTATCAAATAGACTATGGATATGGACCTGAAAGAGAGATGATAGAACATCTAGAAATAAAATTGATAAGATTTAAAGCTAAATTGGATTAGATAGGAAGAGTGCAGGGAGAAGGTATATTGTACTTTCTGGCATG